TTCCCACTTCTGTCTACCTCAGCCCCACCTTATTACTTATTTTATACAACAACTTAGAACGTTAAATGTCAAATTATTGGTTTTAACTTTCACATAACATAACGTAATCATTAACATTCAAATGGATTTTTAAACACGTATTAATTAGTCAATTTATTGCTTCCTTCGTTTTTCTTTTCTTTTTTTCCTTTTTTATCCACATATTTAATATCTTTATATTCTTTTGAATTTCCAAATAAAAATTTCTTTAAAAAATAAATAAATAAAAAGAATAATAAAAACAAGCGGGGTCATGAGGAGGCAACCCTTGCATTAACATTACACATATGCAATGTGCAGAATTATTATTATTATCATTCACATGGTGGGCTATCGTTATTATACTCTCATGCTACCTCAATTTTTTTGTACAACGTATTACATTCAAATACCAAGATTACACAATATGATTTATATATATATATATATATATATATATATATATATATATATGTATATGTACATGATCAGGACTCGACTCTTTTGATAATGTATAAGAATTTAATTCTAATTCTATACCATCTGTGTTGGGCTTTTAGTGATTTTCTTCATAAAAGCCAAACTTGATATGATCATGTGTGGGGTATAAGATGCTAGGATATTGAGTAGTAGAGGATATTCCATTGAGGTAGGAGACAAGTGGAGTGACTGAACAACTTAATTTTTTTCACTTCTTATTTGAAAGAAGTGATTCGAAACTGTGCGCTGACACTAGTGTGACATGTGTGTAGAGAGAAATTAATTATTAGGTGATTTTAAATTACTTAATCTTTAATTAATTTCTACATGATATATAATTAAATTTTATTATTTTTTAAAATTAAAAATTTTAAATATATGATATATAATAATTGGTTGAAGTGGCACTACCTAATCAAGTTTTTATCCTATCATTTTATATATTTTCATCCACTCATGTATGGTCATCAAGTCTCTGATATTTATAGTTCTTTTGTCACTATTTTCTTAGAAAACAATCCATACGAATTATAGCAATGCTTTCTTTTTTCTGGACAGATATAGCAATGTTTTTTAGGAAATTAAAGACCTTAACTATTAGGTGAGAAGATTAATAAGAATATTTGGCAGAGTGTATGACCTAAATTACATTAAGATTAGGTTAGGCTGAACTTATTTACTAAAAATAGTTTGACTAATACTTTTTTAAAACTCTATTTAGTTAAAAAAATTATTGTTTAAGATCATTTGAAAGAGCTTTTTGACCAAAGAAGATAGTCAATAATAATAATAATAATGAATTAAAATTTTATCGATCAATAGTTTATTTAAATGTTTAATTAAACTTGTTAACTTACACAAGTTTAAATTTATTAACCTATTTAGAGGTAGGATTTTTAACTTATTTAAAAGGTCTTACTACAAAGTAAATTTTTAGTACAAATCAAACTTTAAAAAATCAGATGGAGCCATAAAATAGAACCTATATTAAATAAATAGATAAATTTAAAATTTTATTAATTTGTAAAATCAAACACGAGGAAGTCCTAGCTACCTCTAATTGAATTAAGAGGATTGAGATGAGTGATATTCTTAATACACACAAGATTTAAATATAATTTTGTCATGTTAAAATAATGAACAAATATACCGATATTATAAAAGAATTTTATATTATCATTCAATTATAAATAAATATATATGTTATTTGTAATTTTTATAAAAATAATTTCAAATATTATATTAATATTAATTTTTAATTGATTGATAATGTAATTTTTCTATATTAATGGTGCAGAACAACTAAACTTTAAATTTTAATTTAAGAGAATTTAATATTTGGAAAAAATTCTCTCATTGTATTGAATACTCAGCCTTCCCTATTACAATAATGGCTTCAAATGTGAGATTTAAAAAATAAAATCATTTTTTTTAAAAAAAAAAAAAGGAGAGGAAGAAAAGGAGAGAAAAACTAATCGTACATACTATTTTTATTTAATTTTAGAAGGGAAAACATTAGTACAAGATCGAAAAAGTTTTCGTATTCCCCCACAATTAAATTAAGTGGTGCATGGTTTGAATGTGGACTAGGAATCATGTGAAGGGTAGGGTGGTCCCTAGGACCACTCTAAAGTCCCAGAGTCCCCAAATAGCCTTTTCATTTCTTGTGGCGAAGCTCAATACAATTGGTCTTTCAAACGGCAGTGCAGGGTTTTGAGTTTAAGAAGTGTTATTAATTTTATTATTTTCCTAGGGCATAGTTTCTCGAGATACGAATATCTATCTATTCAAGAGGCCCGTCTCATCTAATAGATATTTTTCTATACATACTTAAAAAAAATATAATTATCTATCAATTAATGTACACTACATAGGTGGTGCTATCTAGGATTTATTTATTTAATGAAAATGGGCATAGGGCGTGTGGGCGTGGTGGTGACACACTCCACCTTGTCGAGCTTTGAGGTTGTTTTTTGATTTCTGGGTGTATCTATCTTTTTGGGGTCTTTAAAATGGCCTCAAAGTGGCAGAGCATATGGGCTTTGGAAGAGTCGTTGTAGGACTCAGTTTTGTTCCCTCCACTCCTGCCCTCTCCCCATCTTTTCACTCAGTCTCTTGTTTCCTATGTTTATTTTGTCCCTTTTATGTCACCTTTTGGGCCTAATGTGTCCAACACAAACAATATATATATATATATATCGTATTGAATAATTCCATCATTTACATTGTCCCTAGCTCATATATTGTCCATTATTCATTATATTCCCAGTAATTTCACTCTTGAAGATTCCTCCAGCTAGACAGCTTCAAGATTTTATTATGGTAGTCCTCCAATTTTTTATTTTTTATTTTTGGTTTATATGTCCTCTACACAAGATTATTTTGCTTGAGTGGGAAACATTCATGTTATGATGAAATTATTTATTGTAACTATATTCTTTTTAATATATGTAAAACTCAAATCAAGATCTGACTCGAGCATGAAGCTTCCTAGCCACCTATTTCTAAGTTAATATAATATTCACAATTTTATTAGTATTTAGGTTTAAGCGCACATATTTTGTCACCTAAATTTTATGATTTTGCAAATTTTATCACTAATCAACTTTCAAATTTGGATATTTAAATACATAACTTTTATTTTTTATTTTTATATTTTGTCACATTATTAATTAACTATTTGATAACATTAGTTAATTATTTGATAATGTTAGTTGATTATTAACATGATATAACATGACACATTATTATTTATAAGCCACATTATTAATTTACTTGATTAATCGACATATCATATCAATAATCAATAAAAAAATGCTAGATATTCAATTATTAAAGTGATAATATATTTATTTTGAAAGTTGAGTAATAAATATATAATTTCAAAATTGAGTGGCAAAACTATTAAAATCATGAAAATTAATGTGAAATTAAGTATAATATTTATTAAATAAATAATAAATAATATTTTTTATGCATTAATAATGTATCTATTCTTTAGTGACTTAGTACACTCATATATATAATAAGTTGGTAGAAAACCCTATAATCTACGATAAAAGTTTTGCCCCCAACAAGTTACGTGATAATCATTTGGCTTGAAGTTAAAAGAAATTGACTAGATTTTTGCTTGGTAAGGATGATGTTATCACCTTACTTTTGCTCAAAAAGCCCTAACCTGCGGCTTAACAAAGCTACGACAGACAACTTTTCTCGGTTTTGATGTTTCTCATTCCTAGCTCCATTATTTAACGTCAATCAAAACATAACATCAAGATTTTAAAAAACGTCAATAACAATGAAGAATCTGTAATCAAGAATTTGCCCCTTAATCATTGAATAATATAACAAAACATGACAAATAGGCGACGCGCTCTCACAAGCCCGTACAAGAGCCGAACAATATTTTAGCATTATAATCATTTTATTAAACCACATTTAAAATAAACAAAAGCGTCCATACATGTACTAGTTCGTCTTAACTAAGATCAAAGAAAAGTTATACTATTCATTATTCTCATTCAATTCAGTTAAATAAAATTGGACCTAAATCTAATAACATGAAGTAATCAAATTTTAAATATTAGGATGAAAAAAATATGCAAACAATCTCAAAATAGAAAATTTATTTCATGGTCCGGAATAAGATCCCGATCAATTTTTACATTACATACACGTAGTCAAGTTTGATAGACATACAGCACACTTAAACCAAATAATAATTTCTCCTCAAAATGGGATGGATAAAAAGAGTTAAAGAAAGTAATAAATGTACAAATCATGTAATGAGAAAAGACATATAGATAAAAGAAAATGAGGTGGAAAGAAATGGTAGAGAAAATGAGATGTTTGGATGTAGTTACTAATCACAATATATGGAAAACTAAGTTGGTATTAGGAGCTGCTGCATATCTTCCCCACCAGTTCCACCTTATCCTTGTAATAATTATATAATATAGTGGCATGGTACAATTAAAGTACATAACAAAATGATTTCAGCATCCTAAATTTATACATACACACAATGGAAAAGTATTATTATTACGCATGCATGTATATATATGTAAAATGTAGCTTTTCCATTGAAACTGTTACATGCTACGAGATGTTACATCGAAATAAACGAACGGCTACTTCAAAAGTGTGAAGACTAAAGTGATGGCAATGACGCGATATTTTTGCTTTCGGCTCTCGCTTTCTCTTTCTCCACACCTCATTTTCTAAGCTTTCATCTTTTCTATTTACAATGGGGTGTAACTTCGCAGCAAGCACAAAATCTGTTGGTTATTTCCTTCCAGCAAAATCCAAGTAAAGCAGAAAGTGTGTGTGGGGAGAGAGAGAGAGAAAGAGAGAGGATACCAACATTTTCAACCAAACTACACTGTTACCCTTCTTAAAAAGCAACAAAGAATTACAATTCATTAGGCCGAGTAAAATAAGATGGGTTCTCTATAAGTAAGATTTGAAATTATAATTTTTTAGATAAAAAAAATTGAATAAGAGACACCACTAAAAATATTTAACCAAATTCTTTTGACAAATATTAATTATTAGTACAATTAGTGAATATTTCATATTAATAATACCATTATAAAAAAAAAATAACAAAGCAGAATAAAAAGGCATGCCTCTGATTCGCCAAGAGACAAGGACCCATGTAAAATTAAAAAAAAATAAAGAAAGCAAAAGGTAATAATTTGAAAAGCAATAGCAAAATCCTAATGGGAATCTTTCTTCGTATTCAACTGTTCATGGTGATCCCACATTGCCACCTCTCTCTCTCTCTTTCTCTCTCATCCTGCTCCATTCCTCCTTTTTATGCTGTCTTTCTCTTTTGATATCTTTTCCTCTTTCTCTCTCTCGCTCTCACAGACACAAACACACACAACAGACAGACAAACCAACATTTTCTCAGCTTCTGGCATGACCTCATATGTTCATGGGATTTTCATGCGGGGATCATTTTGTAAGTGCTCTCAAACCTTCTTTCTCTCTCCAACACACTCACTCATAAAATGGTTAATTGGAGAGTGTGTCAATAGAGAAGAATCTTTGCTCTTTTTTATTTTCTCCTTCTATTCTTGTAAACGTAGCAGCATGTGGTGCTTACGAGAGATTTGTAAATTTTAGGACGAAAAAGAGAGCCAGTTTCCCTTGATAGATGAGACCAGTGCAACACAACAACAAAACAGCATCATCATGGAAGTGAATCATCTTCAAGGGGTTGATAAAAACACTGATTTCTGTCCAGTTGAACACCCTATGGAGCCACCAGATGAAGATCGTCCAGTGAAATGCCCAATGCCCGAGTCTTCTGTCATCAATGTAAGCATATATATGTTATCAGTGGTTTAGTTATCTACTTATCTTATTATGATGGCATGGCAAACAGGTTTTTTGCATGGTAAAGAAAAAAAATAATGCAGCTTCGTTTTTTATCTTTGCTTTATGCCCATGTTCATGATATGTGTTGTTTCCTTATTTCTGCATTTGTCTTCTTCTTGTATTCACATGAGGGTCTCTTGCTAGCAAAGGGACCGACATGTAAAGTTTCAGGAGATGTACTTTTTTATAGACCGTATATATAATAGCAAGAATTTGATATACTACACATATTACTAACATGTTTTAGCCTGCAATTCTTATATTGTCCTACTGGACTAGGGGTACAGCCTTCAGAGCTTCTCTTTCTTGTTCTAAATTATACATCATTCAGATGTGGATGATGACTTTTTAGGGTGTAGTACAGCGTAGAAAATCACTCAGCACAAAAAACTTTTGAAAGAAAAAAAGTATATATACGACTTGAATCTCAGTGCCATGCATTTGAAAGAACTAGTATACAATCATATTGTATTTCTCATCTAGGTATTCGTCAAGGTATTTGGATTTTATTAAATAATTCTACATCCTAAAAAACATATTATCATTTCCCTTAACATCTTAAACCATTAGGATTCACATCTTGATGAGGAATTTGAGTAATATACACGATATGATGCTAGATTTTAACTTTACTGTTTTTATTGTACGCAAAAAAAAATAAAAAAATCTCTTAATATCCTACAAGGTAAGTAATAAATAAAAATAAAATATACTTAATATCTTAAAAAATAAGAAAAAAAACATAAAATATCTTTTTTTCATTTAGTAAATAGATTTCATAGGAAGATATTGTATAAAGATTTAAAATTATTCAAACAATTAATATTTGAAGCTAATTAAATTAATATAATAAGAACCAACGAATATTGACAACTAATTACTGGTCTGTATGGAAAATAGAAGGGAAAAAGGAAGAACCAGAGTTTTTCCCTCTTCATCTTTGGTTCCAGTGATTGATCCAAAGGCCTTCAGAAAACCCAGTGTAGAAAGAGTACTTCAATGCATTCTGATGCTCAACCTGGAGTTGAGGGAAGAAACTGACATCCACATGACTTTTGCAGGACGACAGGATGCATGAAAAAAGGTTTGCAGAAAGCTTAAGGAAGAGAGGAGAGACAGCCGGGGTCATGGCAAACGGTGAAAGAACCACCATCATGGACGCAGAGCCTCCAGCTCGAGGAGTTCGAAAGCGGCATCACACCCTCACACACGAAGGAGGAGACCTTGTGATGACTCCATTAATGAGAATGCCACCTCTCCCTCCCCTACCATCCCAGAATATCACCATCTTTCAGGTGCTTCAGCAGTTGGATAAGTTTGAGTCTTAACAAAGAAATAAATTCCATCACAACATTTCATGTAACCAGGGATGCATTTTGATTATAAGCTGAGTGAGCTGAATAGGACAAGACAAAAAGCTTTGGAGCATCAAGACCCCAAGTCGTCAAAAAAGTGTATCTCACGTTTTCTACTAAATCAAGATATTTTTATACTTTCTGCAAATGTGCATATTACACAATTTGTCGTGCAGAGACATGTTGGATAAAATACTTGAGGTAAAAAATTGATGTCCCCAACTAGGCACGTCAATAATTGCATGTCAAGTGCTCTACTTAAAATTTCAAAACCTACTTAACTACGACCCATCAAAATGAGTGGAGTGAATTTCATATAGATCAAACGCACTTGTCCAAATGTAGGCATGCAGGCCCATGTCCATTGAAAGAGAATAAAAATAAAAAAGGAAACAAAAACAAAAAGACAACGGAAGAAAAAAGGTACAATATCAATCAGTCACAATCAATGTCTTCATCTTACGTGCATCAGAAAAAGGAAAGCATTTTGACTGCAATACAGCTCAAAAGAGAGAAAAATGTTGCAAAATACATAGTTTGACAAAGACAAACGGCTTGTGCTAGGTTAGTCTTAAAGACGGTAAAAAGAAAACTAAAAAATACATGTACTGTACAAAGTTCGCACTCTGTTAGAGTGAAAGGAATCGTTTGGTGTTAAAGCCTGACCATATTCTGTTTGATCTATCATTTTCGATCCCTCAGTTACCCTTCCCTACAAGCTTCTCTGGGTTCACCATTTAGCATAAAGCAAATATAAAGAAAACATTTGTTGACTGGTTGCATATATTTTGTGAAACAATAGGCACATCAGGAATCACGATAACCAAGTCCGAAAGAGAGCACATTGCATTCATTCTACAAGGGAAATACCAAGGGCAACAGCCATGCCCATTGTCAGTGATATTATTTGGACAAATGTACTTCTTAATGTTGTATTCCCACTGTTATTCATTTCTGCAAGTACTCCTGCAATTGCAATGTATATAAATCCACCTGCTGTAAATCCCTGTCAAAAGGAAGACATGCCATTTCTAAAATCAATCATTTTGAACTCAACCAACAAATTCGTAATGAAACATTACGTACCTCAATCAGAGATGACTGTCCAGGGTCTTTCCCCAACAGAAGAGCCTACACCAAAAACAGTGATTTTCTATTTCATTCCATGTTCATTCTCGTGCATAATAATAATGAAGGGAAGTCGGAACAATGAAATGTACGTAGATGTACTCACAATTATCCAAGTCCTAACCCAACCAGTAAATCTATATCCTCAGAGTAACACAATTTTAAAAGATTTATACGAGTCCCATAAAAGTTTAGAAGTCATGACTTTGTTACCGTATAGAAAAGGTATAATGAATCTCTCTTTTTTATTTCAGAAATATGTATGCTGATGATTACCCTTTTATTTCTCCTGTGCTCATTTACTTAACTGGGCTTTCCAGCCACCAATTCAGTACACAATACTTAATCTGTAATGTGTCTTAACTACAACAAAATTTGTGAACATACTACTGTCAATATTCACATTTTTATTCTTGTTTCAATGTTAATCATGTGTGAAAACTGTTTGTGGATCCACTAAAAAAGCTCGGTCAGTTGAAATGCTGAATGAAGACAACACTCACCAATGCAGTGCCTGCAAGTGCCACAAGTGCTGACAGAAAGTTGAAGAATAAAGCCTTTGGTATGCTGAAACCAGATCTTATCAGAATGCCAAAATCACCAATCTGTATGTGAAAGAAACAAATAGTATAAAACTTTCGCTGGGACAAAGTAAGATCAGAAACCCATAATACCAATGAAATGTACACGACAACAATAAATAAAATCAAGACAGAATAAAGGAACAAAATACTAAGCTGAAAGCATTATTAAATGACAATAACAAAACATGACAGCCAAATTTGCAGAAATATGATCACTTGCTGCAGTTTTGCTTTCCCCAGAATGTTGAACTTATTCCCCAGAATGTCAATAAGGAAGGATACTAAAGGTTTAGCAACTCTCACTTTCACCAAGGATATTCCCCAACCAATTGGAGACTAATTCCTTTCAAGGCATAAAATCACCAAAAAAGAAACTTGTTGGCTTAATTGTTAGGGCATTAAGCCAACAATTATATTTTATACATGTAAAAATTGATCCTTTATACAGGACGTAGTTGTCCATCAAAGCATGAAAAAAATTCTACCATTCACAGGATAAAAAAGTAATTATATTTTCCATTTATTTTAATAAAACTCAGAAATTAAAGTGTAGATATATTTTATAAAACACCCCTTTTTTAGTTTTTAATTTCTGAAGAGAACCCTAGAAGCTAAAAAAAGGATGTCACCTGAATGATGCATGTATTGAGTGTCACCATACATATCTACTTATGCATTAAAATTCATAAAACAATAAATATACAATTGCAATTATGCAAATCCAAGTTAAGGACATATTTCTTGGACATGGATAAAACTATAAAATAATATAAATCATTGTCATCATAAATTACTTTCTATTATTTACAAATAGAAATAATACTATCAATTTCATTGTTTTCAAAATATCCATAAAGAGGGTAATTTCTATTTTTGGTTACAATGCTTATATGTTTCTATAATATACTTGCTTATGTCTCTTGTATGTATTGGATTTTCATAATTCTTTTTAAAGGCTTGATACTTCACTAATACATATTTGTATTGGTGAAGTATCCAACAATATCTATCAAACACAGATATGCAAATCAAATTGAAGTATTGGTGCCTCATAGAGTGTAACAAACTGGGGGAATCAAAATTGGGATGCTATTTGCAAGTTCACATGACAAATAATGCATCACAAGTACTGTTTCCTCCATGAGTCAATGGTCAGAAGTTAAGTACACATGAGCATCATTAACACGTGCCATTGATATGCCCAGCAAGTGCAATATTAGTGCACCTCCTTGACATGAAAAAGCCAGCTTTATATTTTCTCTTAATTTTGTTTAAAGCAGACAGCAAGTGATAAATGTTCAAGTAGCACTAATGTAAATCAGGCTAACATATTTAGATTTAAATTTTACAAAGAATCTTCTTTAGCCCTCCACAAAATGCATCCTAGGTCTAAAATAAACAGACAAAACAGGAAGCCTGTTAGGCAACTGGCATTAAAAGAGAGAATAGAAGGATAGCCGATCTTGGGAGAATTTTCCAATTTGGATAACACTTTCTTCTTTTTCTTCTTCTTGGCCAGAGTCTTCCCCGGAAATATCAGCCTCTTCTTCTTATGCATCCTTCAAAAAAAAAAAAAAAAAAACAC